GGGTGGGACTCGAACCCATGCACGACCTTCTGCTTATCATAAAGAAAATAGTTTGCAGTACCTGCTGTTTCACTTGACTCGGACTGGCCAGCCAACCCCGGCAAGCTCGGTGGTCGAGTGGGCAAGACATCTGCACTAGTAAGCGCGAGGTCGTGGGTTCGAGTCCCACCCGAGTAAGCTTGTGAGATTTTTTTCACAAGCTCTCTGACAAGCACTATGCATACAGTGCTTATTAACCACTACTTCACGTAGGGGAACCCGGTTTCGGAGACGCATGCTTAATACGTGTGGCCGGGGTCTCCGAAATCGGACAAAGGGAACTGGGCCCTGTAACAAAAGACCGTACTCCGAACAAAAGACCAGGCTGCTAGGCATTACTGACATTTTTCACTCTCAAAAGTGGAGATAATCCAGCCTTGTTTTGAAACAGTGTACCATGGTTTTGGGCATTTAGAGCGAGCGGATTACCACTGCGGACAAAAGCGCTCCACCACCGCAGCGATGAGCCACAAGGTACTGCTGCACACTAATCTGGCCCCCATTGAAAAGAGGTTAGCAGCACACTGTTCTGGTTTTGGGAAAAAAAGAATCCTACATAACACTGCACAATCTGGGCTCTTTTTGCAAGGCTGCAGGCCTGGCTGAAATACTTGGGCGTCAATGAAGGTCACCCATCAACTTAGAGCAGTGCCTAAAGATTACTGCGTGTGGGTATAAACGTCTGTTAAATGAAATGATGAATTTTTCAAGAATTTTGAAAGCAGAAAAAATGATAATAATTCCGGCCCAGCATCATTAACATTGATAGTTAACCCTGACGCAAAGTGGTTAATATACGTTGGATAAGGGCAAAACCTGTTGTATAAATTAACATCTCCCCAATGCAAAAATATATACACCTTGAAACAGTGTTGTAGTACTGTACTTGAGTACTACTCGAGAACCATTTTCAGAGTACTCGTACTCGTACGTCTAAGTACTTGTACTTGAACTACAGTTCTTGTACTCGGGCTACAAAATACGCAGAACTCGACATCCAAAAACTGTACTCGAGCATCAAAGTACTTGTACTCGATTAACAGTACTCGATAAAAAATCCTTTAACTTACTATGGCCGTTAAAATAAGGTAAAAAAATATCCACCCCAATGACCCGATATTCAATATGGTTCAGACAAAAAGAAGTCTGAATATGGGACCATTAATGTATACGACCCATTCGCCGTCTGTGGGCGTACTTCACCAATCACGTACGCAAATTATATTGTGGTGCTCCAGAATGGTCCTGCGATTTACTTGGGCATTGGTAGTCTGGTTCCTGGACCCGAAAATTCTAACGATGAACCCAGCATACAGAAAATCACAGGCATGTGAATAATTGAGTCTGGAAAATAGACTTCGCCGTGTTGTCAACTGCTGCAATGCACGTGTAATGACCGTTTTGATACACGTGTTTGTCAAGCAAGGGGCTTAAATACAAAGTCTTGGGGACTTAATTTGAACTGCTAGTTGACGTAAACACACTGATTTGGGTAAGCTATTGCAGACAATACATGTATTGTAATAAAAATAAAGTTGCAAATTTTTGTAAATCTGTTCATACTAATTTGAATGCATTTTAACGCACAATTTCCAGCAACTTAAAGTTCAAGTACATATGAGTACCAGTGCTAGGAATTGCACGTACTCAGATTTGTACTCGGAATTAGAAGAACTCGTACTCAGAATTAGAAGTGCAAGTACTTGTACTCGGAAACCAGTACTTGTACTCAGCTGACAAAGTACTCGACCTGTCTTTGTACTCGGCAGTCAAAGTGCTCGGCAGTACTTGGTACTCGGAAAAAAGTACTTGACTACAACACTGTCTTGAAAACGTCTATTTCTGGTGAGTAAATAATTATTGTACTGGCTGTTAATGATTGATATTACATCGGCGGCATACTATAAATTGCCTTCACACCTCAACACAACATCTAGAATCCAAACTTTTGGGGCCCCTTAGGTGAGCTCCAAATTAGAGGAAACGGGAACCGTGACTCTTTTCTTTTGGCTTAGGGTAGTGAGTAGATTCACGGTCTACTTGACCCTGTGCAGTTTCACTTCATAAGGTAGCGGCTTAAGGTAAGAGCACCCACCCGTGGACACTCTGCGTAAACTCCTCGACTCGTCTGGTCATCTCAGCAAAGTGGAACCCTTTTCTCATGGGTGTCCCCCAGGCTCCCACGTCGACATACATCTCGTCCTCATTCCCCTCGGGGTGGACAAGCCCCGGTCGGGAAGGCAACAGGAAGGGGCACAGCCACAAGGGGTAGAGCTGTTGATAGCGGGGTGAGATTGAAGGAATATGAAATAACCATGAAATAGTCATCAGAGGGTTTGAGGGCCACACGGCATCTATAGAATACATTTTGTGTTTGCCTAACGGCTTCCCTTAAAAAGGTACTCATTTCTTGTGTTTTATATCGACTTTTAGGAATAAAAAAATTTTGATGGTATAATAAGGATTTTTCCATAAGTTGATTCGTAGACTGTGAGGCATTTATCGTTTCTATATTGCTCTATTCAAGTCATTTTGTGTTGTTTTGAATACAATTTAGGTTTTTGGGGGAATTGTGTAAAGTGCAGTAACATTTGTTGAACGAAGTGTACATGACCCACTAGGGGTGGGCGTTTACTGAGTACCCGTTCTTTGTCAATACCGGTACCCTTAAAATATAAAGAACACTTAACAAATGGCATTGCGCCCAATCTCCACGGACCATATGCCTGAAATAGGGCTCTTTTTTCACACACTGGAAGCAGCATATTGTTCTAAATGTTGGAGAGGAATTCCCACACCTTTTTCATAAATGAAATGTTACATGTACATTTAATTTGTTACAACAGCAGTAGCTCCGTTGATCTCTGTACCGGCGTTACGACCGCGGGACTGGATTTTTCAGCGGCACAATGAGTTTTCTTTAGCAACTCTGCCCTTCGGTGTTAAAGTTCACATACGTTTTATGCGTGGACTTTTTTCACAGGTACCAGACCCGAAGAAATGGATCTGGGTTTTGACATCGACGGACAGGTATCCATGTGCCTGGCACAGGCCAATAATGTCCATATTTGAAACTGACTTCTACTGGTTGAAGTTTAACAAGAGCATTCAGAAAAGGGGAGGAGGGATTTTGAAGGGGAAAACTGATGCAAATTTCTACTTACTTCGAACTCTTTGTCAAAACAATCCAGGCACTCGCGGAGCTTATGGAGGGGTACCAACATGTCCTGTATCACGTGGTTTCTCTCATACATTCTGCGTATGGTCTCTCCCTGGGTCAGCTTCAACAGCGACACCTTGGGTGGCATCATCCAGCCGCACAGGTAGCGGAACAGCGGGTTGTTGCCGAATGGGACGATGTCCTGAAACCAGACGATGTAAGAAAAGTATCAACCATCGATCACAATTCTATACACCTATTCTGCTGTTCTTCAGAACAAGAAGCGATGTAACCAACAGAAATAGTTCCTGTCCCTCCTGCATTGAACCAACAATTGGCATACATGCAGGTGGAACAAGGAATTTGTAAACTGCACTGCACTGCAACGTCACGGCGGGCCGAGTTACAGTGAGGCTGGATTGTCCCTAAACCCACCTGAAGCTCCCAGAAGATACTCCGCTTGTGCCGGTGGTAGTAGTGGTACAGTGGGATGTACTCGATGCCCGGCCCCGACTTCAGGTAGGCTTGGACGTGCTTGAAGAACCAGGGCTTCCAGAAATGCCCGATGCAATTGACCTTGGATAGAAAAGAAGCACTTGTACGATTAAAGTCAAAACCTAATATACCAGAAACGAGACGCCCCCTTGAGGGCTACTCATAGCTGCCAAGCACATGATGCCTGAAAAAGGAGCTAATTAAACAATAGTTTTATGAAGATAACTTAACTTACCTTGATCAGTGAAAATGATTGGTATCATTTTCCAAGTACAAGTGCTTTTTAAACATTTAGTAACTTGTGAAAATATGCAGTAAACCTTTCTGCATTTGATACACAAAAATTTTGAACTTGAAAATTGCCATTTGTTATAAACAGGGTCCAGGAAAAGCAATGGAGGTATGCAACCCTGCTCAAGGACACAAATACTGTAAGTACGCTTGACAGCTTTTCTTTGTAATTGTCTCAGTTCCCAGTCTTAAGTGATGTTGCCACATATTTACCTTACTTTCCTCCGCATCATCGGTCATATTTGCCGTCATGATGACCCCAGCCTCCTTACCGTACATCAGTGCTTCCACAAATTCGTTGTTGGATTTTTTCATGGTTTCCTCGGAGAACGCTTTGATGATTTCGCTCATAGAGTGGGCTGGCCGGTACTCGATCTTCACATACTTCTTAGCAGGCACGATTTGCAGCTCGGCTGCCACGAGGAATCCCAGTGTTCCGTGGGACCAAGGCACAGCATAGAACAAATCTGAATTTTCATTCTTGGAGGCAATTTGAAGTAGAGAAAACATCATGTTAGATACGCCCAAGTACAAAATACATAAACAAACACAAGTGCATTCTCTGCGGTATGACATTTAATAAGCCGTAGTTTTCATCTTTGGTTCACACAGAACCACATGAAATGCTCATTTACTGATTATGGATTTGGGTGGCTTTGTTGACCCACCATTTGTGAATACAGATGTTGATATACACCATGTATGCAAATACCTATCTGCCTTGAGCGGAAGCACCCCCTCTTGAAAAAGAGCCAAGCTGGTCGGGAGTATTCGTTTTTGTTAGTAGCGATGCGACTGCAACACACGCATTCCATATTTGAAGTGCAGTTCCTACCAAAGGGGCCTTTGTTAGTAGGAAAACTGCGCCCTCTCTTGGTCGCACTCGGGGCTCAAAAAAAGCTACATTGAGTTTCCCCTAGGTCTGTGAACAAACATGGATGCACCCAACAGGCTTCACTTTGCATTGCCAGGTAACACTTGATGATGCGGATCAAGTAATGGGTATATGCATTGCTGCGGCACATGTATACATGTATTTCACTCGGTTGCCGTCTTATTGTCTAGTGAACTTAAAAAAATAATTTCATTACTTGTGACGATGGAGTATCACTGATGTTTTAAACCAAATGCACGTGCACTAGGCATCAAGATGCATAGTATGCATGCACAGTACCAGCATCTTCAATGAAAAGCAAAAACTTTATGTTTACACTGTGTGGTCTGGTTACGAGCCTAAAAAAAGCCAAAAAACTTTAAAAAAGCGAAACAAACAGACCAACCAGAAATACAACAAAAACCAGACCACTGATTCACTGCCAACGTTGCTTTAAATAGGCCATCACAAAGGCAAAAGGTGGGACCAAGCAACAACATTGCTGAATTTGTGGGGCAGTTAGGAGAAAAGTCCTGGAACTGCTAGGACCCAAGTGCTAAAGGTTTGCTTGTGTAAAGGGGCTATGAACTTTGAAGCTTTTAAGTAATTTTTCCAGACAAGTGCATTCAATTGACTTTGTCCCTTATCTGAGATAACTGGAGAATACAATACCAAAAGTAACTGGCCTCTGTCACCCTTAATGTAGAATAAAGATAAGGTTCAGTGTAAACTATATTTGAACAGAGTCTCGTTCGTATAGTGCAATTAATATTCAACCCAAGATTATCCCCAAATATAGGTAAAACTAACTCCAAATAGCATTTCTTTCAATAGGTTCATGAAAAATGTTGAATTTTTGGATGTAGATTAGAGTTAGTCCAAAAACTATCATCTGGAACGAGACACACAGCACAATCACCAGCTTCAGGCATTTGTGGGGGCCACAGTACCAGCTAGGGGGGTGCATCCCATGAACAAAACAGAAATACATGTACATGGATATGTTTTGAGCAAAGTAATGTGCCGATGGGGGGGGTGCTCATCACGGTTCATAAGCAATTTATGTTTAGGAAATATTACCAATATAGTAACAGGGGAAAATATGGCAGAAGTACCTCAGAGCATCTCACTAAACTGCCATCAGCCATGACCAGTTCATAGGCCACACAGATGTGTTGGAATAAGCCAAACTTAAGGGAGGAGGTTTCAATGCCCACGCCCATTATCATGCCACCTGCAGGGAAAAAAGACACGAGACAATCAATTAACTGCTGACAAACAAGGCAGTTTTACACAATCATCACATTTGCAATTGTAGTAGGGATGAAAAAAATATATTTGCAATGTTTTAAGCAAATTGACTCATTCTAATCTAACATTCTTCAACGTACGAGTCAACCGAGGTGGGACTACCTCTAATAAACTTTGACATACCCACGGTTAGCATATCCGGTTCTGGAATGATGGGCAGTGTCCAGCCGAGTGGATTCAACATGGCTGTCACCTGTGCCATGTCGACAAGTGGTTCCACTCGCACCACTCTCCGGTCAGTGTCCACTTCCAGGATGTCCACTGTTGAACGATAGGTTTCAGAAAATAGCAACACTTCTTGCTTTGTTTGAATGCTTTGGGCATTCATCATGTTTAAAC